CCCACACCGACCCCCTCCAGGTAGGACTGGATGGTGGACTGGGGAGCAGAAGAGGACAGAAGGGCAGTGGAGGAGCTCTCGAAGGCCGCAGGACCCACGCGCCGCTCGCCCCAGCCCTGCCAGGTCTCTCTTGCAGGCAATTCCAGCCCCACGAGGTCACGCCTGCCTCTGCCACCACGCCATCGTATCTCCCAGACCTCCTGCAGTGACCCCCGTCCCATCAGACCCAAGGACACCCAGCTTCAGGAGACAGACTCCAGCAGCAGGATGGGTTCACTTCACCCCTCTCTGGGTAAACTGAGTCACGGTGACTATTTACAGGGTGGGGGGGGCAACGGCTGCTGTTCAGGAGGTGGGAGAAGGGCATCACTTTGGAGCGACCCAGACAGAAGGGTGAGCGGTAACCAGGTCTCTCCTTTAATTTTCAAAGGTTATTTTGCTTCTGGAAAATCTTTGGAGGCCGCAGGGCTCCACGCGTGCACCCCAGGGCACAGGCAGCACCCCAGCAGCCGTCTGAACCCTCCTCTGAAACGGAGTTCCGTCTCTTCCAGCCATGCCCTGTTTTCTCCGAGGCTACGCTGCTTCAAACAAGTCACCTCCTGGACAACTCCTGCCTGCTGGGGTAGGAGAAACCATCTCCAAAATCACCGGGAGGAGGCTGGGGGGCTCAGACCGATGGGGTCCTGAGGCAAAGCGTTCCTCAGGTTGTGCAGACGGGGTGCAGAGTCTACACCTCAGTGCAGAGGTGGAGTTTCTGCTGCAGGGGCTCTCGGCCCACCGTGGGGAAGCAGAGCCTTCGGTGCGGGGCTGGGATGCCATGGGGAGCGCCGACGCCTGCATGCGGGCTGTGCTGAGCACCCCGTTGGCATCTTGTTTTGAAGGGTGGTCCCGGAGACCCATTTTAACCCTTCGGACACTGCCGAGGTGCGGGGCAGGGGCGTGGGGAGGGAGTTTACCACATCTTTTCCCCAAAACAATCACACTTCTCCCACCAAGCACCAGCTGAAGGACAGGATTTTGTCAGAAGCGGGGGAAACAAGACGCCCCAAGGCCGAAGAGCCTGGCTGGGGTCCCTGCTCGGCGAGGCGTCAGGCGCCGAGCACCCACCTTCAGCCGGGACTGGATGGAGCTGTTCCGCTGTGTCTCCC